GCCTCCTCGGGACATCGAGCGGGGAAGGATGGAGGAGACGGAGCTCTTCTCCCCCCCGCGAGTATCGCGGGTCCCCGTCTTGTTATTTACTATTAGCATTAGGTAGTCTTTTGTCGTGGTCACTGGGTGTACCACACTTTATTTGTTAAAATACAAGTTAAGGGAAACTGAGCTATGAAATTTGGAGAATTTTAAGCCGTATAGTTATTCAGAAACTGTGTATACTATACATAATTTAATTTAACATATTTCTGTCTTTGCTTTAGAAATTACTTCATACCAACATTACATAGGTTGACAAATGGTAAATTAATAAATTTAAAGTATTTAAATCTATTTTAAAATATTTCTGTATAGAGTTTAATTTCGGTTGTTATTGTTTGTCCTTCTTAATAAAGTTTGTTGGTAACAAAATGGTCACTTGAATCTCCTGTGTTTTCCCTTCCAAGTCTTTACACTCAAGAGCATTAAAGCCCTCTTCATACAGGCCACTTCTGTATAGTAATGAAATAATTTACTAATAACATAGCAAAATTATTATTTAATTATACTTGATAAAATCAAAACACAAATTGTTGCACGTGAATATGACATGTTACCAAATCAGCCTTTTACCATCTACGGCTGGCCAGGCAATTGGTTCCCTATCTCACCTCCCAGGATTTGGCTAAAGTGATCCATGCAATGGTCACTTCCAGGTTGGATTACTATATCTCGCTCTATGCGGGGCTGCCCTTGAACCTGACCCAGAAACTACAGCCAGTGCAAACTGCGGTGGCAAGCCTACTGATGCCAACGTCTGTGCAGGCACAGTCACCCGGTGTTGCGCCAATTGCACTGGCTGCCAATTGAGAACCAGATCCAGTTCAAGGTTATGGTAATGACCTTCAAAAGCCCTACACAGCTGGGGACCAACATATCTACAGGACTGACTCTTACCATATGTGCCTCAAAAGAGCTTTACGCTCAGCTGAGCAACACCTGCTGGTAATTCCTGGCTCGAATGATGTCTGTTTAGCCTCACCAAGGGCCAGGGCGTTTTCTGCCCTGGCCTGGCCTGGTGGAACATGCTCCCACACTTGAAATCAGGACCCTGCAGGACTTATTACAGTTCTGCAGGGCCTGTAAAATAT